CTGGCCCGAGTGGGTTTGTGAGGAGGCTGACTCTGAGCTTGCCCTTGGCCCAGTGAGCACCTTTCCTCTCATCTTGGCATTGCTGCCCTCACTGTCTTTGGTGCCCTGTGCCCTCTGGTTACTGACACTTCTCAAGGTCACTCCCAGTTACTGTGGCTTTCTGAACTCTGAGCACAATCCCTAATTATTGTGTTTACTTGGTTGTTTCTTATTGTCTGTCCAGCTCTTTCCACGTCCCTGAACATCAGTCTTGTTCATACTATCCCAGGCACCTCGCACAGAGCCTGGCATATGGTAAATCCTCAATAAGTATTTAATGACAGGGGGACAAGGAAAAACAAGAAAAGCAGAGCAAGCAGGAAGGCTAGAAAGAAGGGAAACAATTGGAGGGCCTGTCTTTCCCCTCGGCCTTCCTGCCTTTCCTCTGCTACCGTGGACGTTGGAATTCACCCATCATATGGGCCAAATCTTATGGGACTTGTGGCAGAAGGATCTAAAAGACTTGAGTTCCCATCCCAGTTCTGCCTCCTATGAGCTGTCTAATCTCCTGACTCCTCAGCTCCTCCCTTGTAAAGTAAAGATAATTATATGTACTCCATGGGGTCATTGTGAGGATTAAATGAAATTATTTCTGCAAATCCAGTTTCTGGCACATGGCAGATATTCAGCGAGTGTTGTTCCCTTTCCTCTACAGTAATTTCAACCTTCCAACCTCAGTCCTGCAAAGTGAAAGCAATCCTGCAGCGTGCCTCCAGCCCCATATGAGAGGCTATCTGCCCAGCTGGTACGAGATCTTATAGAGAATACACAGCCAGCCTTCCATCTGTGCCAAAGAAAGTCACATTGGAAGAGATGCATTTTAATGAGTTTCTTCCAGTAATTAAACCCAAGGGACACATACACCAGTTGAAACTACGGTAGGCTGAATTCTAGATTTCTAGCTCTGTGAATTTGGATTAATAACTCGGCTTCTCTGATCTTTGGTCTTCCCCTTGACACACTTGGAATAATAATGATGTTATCTATGTCATAGAGTGGCTGGAGCTGTTGAGTGTTCGCATGGAGAGTTCCTAAGTGTTAGTTATTGTTGGTCCATGCGTTAGAGGACGAACTACCCCCACAGTAAACTAGATTCAAGAAGACTTCACAGAACCTCCATTGATTGCCAGTTACTTTTATACACCTTGTCTCCTTTCATCTTTTTGTTTTGTTTTATAAGGAGGCTCCCCACACAGCATGGAGCCCCGCGCAAGGCTTGAACTCGACCCTGAGATCCAGACCTGAGCTGAGATCAAGTCAGCCACTTAACCAACTGGGCCACCCAGGCGCCCCTCCTTTCATCTTTAAATAACATTGAAAGACACAGCCCCTTCCTGGTTTCATTCATGCATCACCTCATCCACTCAACAGACACTGGCTGTAGCCAGAGAGACGTGTGCCATTCTAGCAACGGTTAATTGTCAGTAAATACGGTGGCATGTAGTTGACTTATTTAATTGCTGTTCTCCGTAGCTTACCTTTCTGGGCTCACCACTGGTCTGCACGCCTCCTGAAGGGGTGGGGCTTTTCTCTGGGCACTTGTGCTTGGCCAGTAGCATGCACTGTCTCCTTGCTTCCAGCTGCCCTTGCGTGCTGACGGGGGCCAGCCCAGCGCCTCACTGTACTCTTGCATTCCGTGTGCTCTCTCCATTTCAGCCACATCTTCTTCAGCTTCTCTGAGCTCTGCATGTGGTTCAGCTGCTTTTGCACTCTTAAAATCGTCAAATCCAAAACCAAGGAAATCAATGCTAAAAACAGGTGGTTTCTTGATCATGTAAATGAGTTCTCAAAAACACATGAATTTCTTATACACATTTCCAAGCACAATATTGAGTTCAAAATACATGAGATCTACGTGCCACTATGCATTATAGAAAATCTAAGCTTTTCTTGATGAGGGAAAAGATGCCCGCAAAAGCATGCAGTGCTGATGAACACGCACGATCTCCCTGCCACCTGTCGGCGTTGGCATTTATGAATTCATGTGTCATTTTCATGCCATCAGTGGATGTTTATTTGGTCATTAGTTGGGTGAGAAAATAAAAAATGTGTCCAGCTGCAACTTGGAGGAAAATTGTTTCTCTCCTTTCCTTCCTCTCTCTCTCTCTCTCTCTCTCATGTGTGCAGCCCAGTAGGTGCTGTGGATATAAAGTGGTGAAGAGATGAGACCAGGTCCCCACACTGTCCTTTCAGCCAGGGGATGACACGGACTTTCACTCATTCAAGAAATATTTGTCCAGTTCCCACTATGGATCTAGGTGCCCAGCATGCAGAGGACAGTGAGGCGGGCTGCTCTCCGGAAGTGCACGTAATAGCAAAGGCGAGATAGACAGGAGGTAAACAAGTAATAAAGAGGCGAACAAACAAGATGACATCTGTCGTGGTAAGAGATAGGAAGAAGCCAGAGCAGAATGGAGTGGCAGGGTTGGTGAGGCAGGGGGCGCCACCTTAGACTGGATGTTGAGGGGGCCTGTTGCTGGGGATGGTGTAGCTGAATCCTGAGCAGTGGGAAAGAGCTGGCCATGGGAAGACCTAGAGCAGGGCATTCCCAAAGAAGGGAACAGTATGTTGAAAGATGAGGGCAGGACATAGCGTGGCATGTTGGAGCAGCAGACTTGGTGGAAAGACTGTGATATGAAGTGGGGCTGGGGAGTGTAGTAGAGCCCGGGTCATATTGGGCCTTGAGGTCATAAGGGCGAGAGGAAGCTCAGAGAGGCTTCAAGGGTGCAGCCACATGATCTGATTGACACATTTAACAATTGCAGTCCGGGGTCTGCAAGGTGCAGTAGCATGTGGTGGGCCCCATAGGATCCCCCCAGAAGAGGATTGCCCAGCTCAGCCGCCGGCCCCCTGCAGGACCAGCTGGGGGTGGAGAAGGGGACTCTGTCACCGTCAACCCCACCCTTCAGATTGGGCCACTAACTTGCAGCCCCAGAGTCAAGAGGCTCCAGAGAGGCTGTGTGGCCCCCTGTGTGGTGATGAGGGCCAGCCTGGGAGACTGAGTAGGAGATGCTGGGCGGTGTTCCCGAGACCTCATCAGAGAGTCCTTTGAGGGTTTGGCATCCAGAGAAGGAAACCCCAGAGAGGTGCTTGTCAAATCCCTTGTGATTTTGGGCTCCTCTGGATGGAGAGGAGATGTGGGATGATTTGTTGGGACTATGTGGGAGGACATGTTGCCAACGACAGTGATTACATTCTTAGAGCATTTTTAAATTCATGAAACATCAAAAAAAAATGATGGTGGGGACTGTGTCCTGGGGAGGAGGGAGAGCCAGCGGAGAGACACTGTAGCCCCATCAAGAATTTAGGTGGTTTGCACAAAGGTGACGGCAATGGGACTGGAGTGAAGAGGACAGAGGTTCTGGATGCAGTTTGTCGAAAGACAAAGGCTTGCTGATGAATCTTGCTGAGGCGGTGATGAGAAAAAGGGAAGGATCAAGATTGAATCAAGATCTTGTTTGAAAAGTAGTGGGTGGATGTACCATCTACCGAGCTGAGGAAGGCCCCAATTAAGCAAAATAAATATAACATGGGTTGTATTTGGTGCTAAGAAGGTAAGGAGGAGGGTGCTAGGAAAATTTTTTGGAGAATTTTCAACCCAAGAGGATCACCCCCAGGTGTGCTGCTGGGGTACCCTGCAGGGAGGATGCACCTTCCCCACCCCACCCCGCCCCGCCCACCCAGCCCAATGGTCACCGGACCTGAAGCCCTGCTAAGAGCTTTTAGAGAAAAGATTGTGCCAGGTGCCATCACCAAGCCCTGTGCTCCAGCTGCCTCTGGATCTGGAAGTCTGGTCATGCTAAGCTCAGAGGAAATTCAATTGGTCTGGCCCAATTGCATCTTCACGGTCTAATCCAATTTCATCGATTTATGGACGATCTTTTTTTTTTTTCCTGGTCCTCGGCCTTTTCTTTCCTTTGTTAATTTTCCCCTAGTAGCCAGATAGACAAAAATCTCCTCCCTCTGTGCCTTAGGTATGAAAAAAAAAAAAAGGCTTCATCAGTCTCCTTTAGAGCAGCCTGGAGCCTGCTATCTCCCCCTCCAGAGGTTCTGGTAGGCGAGCCTTCTCCACGAGCCAGGGGAGCGGAGGGCAGAGGCAGAGGAATGCCCCAAAGGCCTAGCATGTCCCCCAGACTATATGCCCTTCCCAGTATTTCCTCTGCGACTCCTGGGGGCACTGCTGGTCCTTGGGCCAGCTGCCTGCCCAGATCCACACATGGGAATTCAAATTATTCCCTAAATGCCAACTTGAACTTTGGCTGCTTCTTCACCAGGCCTCCTCGGCCCTCTAAGCCAAGGACCTGACATTATGAAGTTTTTAACATGCTGGACCCGCTGCTGGGTGCTCTTGTGCTCATTCCTACCTCAGCACTGTGAAACTGATGCTCCTAGTGCCTTTTTTTATGGAGAACACTCAGGTTCAGAGAAGCAAATTAAATTATTCTGTTGACAAGAAGAAGGAGTAGAGTCCAGGCCAAGGTCTATACCACCTTACAGCCCATCCCTTCAGTACTTTCAAGACATCCGTTGAATCCCATCCTTGCTTTGCCAACCCCACTGGCTGGCCTGTTTGCAGTGATGTTCTCCGGGTGCCAGGGAATCAGCATTTCAGTCAGTGCCAAGCCCATAGTCAATCTCTTTGTCATTGCTCCCGGTCTTCCCTCTGTCCCCAGTGCAGCACAGGACGGCCCCGTGGCAGGACTGAGACGATGATGGGAAAACCCATCACTGAAAATGCAGACAGTTATTGGGAGTGGGGTGGGCCTATGGATGGACAAGAACCAGAAAACAGTGGCTTTGGCTGGAGGGTACAGCATTCGGGTCTGCGCAGAGCAGCAAGACAGACAGACACATCCGAAAGACAAAGAGACAGAGAAGGAAAAAAAGCAAATGAACAACTCACGATGAGCTCTAGGATCTTTATTGTTCCTCTGTGACTTTTTTTTCTTTTTGTTTTCTAGGCTTAGTCCGTTGCGTTGGGGAAGCGGCTGTGTACAAACGCCGGGTGGCCGTGGAGCTGCAACCCAGGGCTGACCCAGGGCCACGCGTTTCACGGCCAGAGACTCTGGGGCACCTGCACGCACTCTCCAGGTAGACCCGACTCGTTTCTTTTTCACGGGAATTAGTGCTTGTAAGAGGGCAGGGGCCATCCTTCAGTTTCCTCCTCCCAAAGCATCGTTTAATTGTGATACTTGGTAAGATCAGCTTTGGTCCTGATACTGTGTCATCAAACAGGCCCTTATGATCTATATTAGTCCAGGTGAGGATTTTTTTTTTTTAAGGCCGGCAGCTGAAATAGAGACAGGGTGGCCTGATACATTCTTTCTTTCTTGTTTTTTAAAAAAGATTTTATTTATTCATCTGAGAGGGAGAGACAAGAGCCGGGGAGGGAGAAGCAGACCCCCCTATGAGCCGGGAGCCCGATGTGGGGCTCGATCCCAGGACCCCGGGATCATGACCTGAGCTGAAGGCAGATGCTTAACTGACTGAGCCCCCCCCCCAGGCACCCCCTTTCTTGATCTTGATGGCAGCCCTTGCTCAAGAAGCATGCAAAGAAGCCCAGCCCGGCCTTTTGAGAAAGGGACCCACCTCTGGGAATGCACAGTGAGGGGGTTTCCATCATTCTCTGGAGAGGCCCTGAATGTGGGCTCCACACAGCTTCCCTCGCAGTGGACAATCACAGCAGCAGCAGCAAAGACCCTGCCCTCACCAAGCCAATCCTGCCCCTGGTCCCCGTCGTCTCTCTTTAGTATGTGTGGGGCCGAGGGAAGGGATGACATGGAGGCATGTGGGGGCCAGGAGGGGCTTTGAGTCGTCCCATGGGATCCCGGCTTGCCTGTGGGGTAGTGCTGAGGTGCTGAGTCTCGACAGAGGTGGGTGTAAAGAAGCCTTGGGTTCTTAATGTTACCGGCTCTGGGAATAAAACAGGGGCTACGGGTAAGGACAAATGCTAGGAACATTGAAAATAAAACACATACTGAGAGGAGGAGAGAGGAGGAGGGGAGAGAGGGAGAGGATGAAACCAAGCTCCCAGGGCAGTAGGAGAGGATGAACAAGTGACGGGGGACACGCTCACACGGGGCGCTGCATTGAGCCTGGGCCCGCAGAGTGAGGCCAAGGTCGCCCCCGGGCCTCCCATCAGATAGCCTGCGAGGCTGTGGACCTGCTGCTTTGGGGAACTGCAGACCTGGCTCCCACACACGTGACTCTAGCCTGACCTCCAGGCCTGGGAGGTGTGAGGGGCGAGGTGAGAGATGGTCAGGTCAGGGTCACTAGGGTCACACCATGTGCGGTTCTCAGTTCCATGGAGCCTGGGTCAGGGTGCGTGAGTGGGAGGCGCCCACATTCTGCCTCAACCACCCCCACCAATCACCACCTGGATGGGGTGAGAAAGAGGAATTTCCCCCACAGATGTGGGGAGAAGAGACATCTCTCCAAATCCCAGTAGAGCTCCTGTTTGGGAGCGAGGATAAGCAGAAATATCTTTCTGTATCTCCAGGCTCTTGAGACCAAGATGGAGCACCGTGGCCACTTGCTGAAGGTGGGTGGGTGGCGGGGGGTGTGATGGGACCAAATCCAGCCCAGGGCCCAGTGATGGCCTAGGGCGGTGCTTCTGGCTGGTGCTGGAGGACGAAGTAGGAAGAGGAAGAAAAGAGGGGGGGTTCGTTGAGTCCCAACCGTGCAACAGGCCCCTTCCACGTGTATTTCTTTCTGTACAATGTCATTCCCATACTTACACTCCTCCCACTTCAATGTGTACAGTACTGGGTGCTCAGCACGTTCACAACATGGTGCAGCCATCGTCACATCAATGGTAGGACGCTGTCATCACCACAGAAGGGAAGTTCATACCACTGGCAGGCATTTCTCGTTTCCCTCTTCCCCTCCCCACCGGCAGCTACCAATCTCACTTCATCTCTTCAGATCTGCCTCTTGTAGACATTTGTAGGAATGGAATAATGCCGCATCTGGCTCCTTCCACGTCTCAGAGTGCTGCCAAGCTTCTTCCGTGTTGTAGAGTGCGGTTCTTCGTGCCTTTTCTTATGCCAACAATATTTCATTATACGGCGATGCCTCGTTTTATCTGTTGGTTCAGGAGTTGATGGACATTTGGATTGTCTCCACTTTCTGGCACTTGTGAGTAACGCTGGTATAAACATTCACCTACAAGTGTTTGTGGACATTGTGTAGAGTCCCCGTAACCATAAAATAGGTCCCATCATCCCTGATTTATTAGGAAAAAAACTGCAGCTCAGAGAGGTTAAGTCATAGTTTTTGAGAGAGAGAAGCTGCTTTTGATTGGGTTTGATTAGGATAGAAGGGCCAAGAAGGGCCAAGAGGACCTTACCAGGTCATTATAAACACCATTGAGTAAAAAGAAATGGCAGGCATGAGAGCAAGTGCGTCACAGGCCGGCTGTGGGCTCTACTGGACTTCTTTTGGGAAGTTGGCCACACTGGCCCGCCCCTCAGGTCTGGGAGATGCCCTCCTTTCCCCACTTGCCTCCTCGTTTCAGCAGCAGATGTGAGGACCGGTCAAGAGCAGTTCAAGACAACTGCTGGAGCAGCTCATAGGGCTCGTGGGGCGTCAGGTGGGAGGTCTCTGCTGCGCCCTCATTCTGCGTGGGTGCCTGGGGTGGGCTCCTGTCCCAAGGAGAGGAATTCAGCGTGGGTCCAAGGGCAGCTCTCTGGCATGGAATGACAGGGTCACAGAGGCTGCTGGCTCTGCCTCTCTATGCCTCCAGGGCTTTCCCAGAAAGTACTTGGACGTGGGAGTGTGGGTGACGTGCCGCCCCATTAACGCAACTCCAATGGCTAGACGGAACCCAAGCCAAAGCTGGTAATCATTGACCCTCAGAAGCTCCCTGGGGGGCAGAGCACTAGAAGCTGTGGGAACACCAGCTCTCCAGCAGACCCCCTGCTCTGTGGTTTATCCTAGAACCTTGCCCTCCTCATCACCTTCCTGGGAAGCACAGTGGTCCTGCAGCCTGGACTGTGGTGTCGTGCAGCCTGGGACTAAAGTCATGGCAGATAATAACATCTCTGGGTCTGTCAATCGGCGGCAGGCTATAACTGGAAGGGAAACTGGAGTTGGGGGTTCTAGTACTGAGTATGCACTGGGTCCAAGTGTTGTCTAAGCCCTTTCCAGCCACTTGCAAGATAGATACAAGTGTCCCCGTTTCTCAGATGAACACACTGAGAGGCGTGATAGTGCCCAGGATTAGAGCTTGAGAGTGACTGACTCCAGATCCAAACCTCACGTACCCAGTGGCCTGGGAGCCACTCGAGGCAGCTCTGATAGGGGATCTTCAGCATAAGCTAGAATGTAAGATGAGAAGGCATCTGAAATTTCCCTCCAAACTCAAGAACCTGGTGTTCTGTGTCTAGTCGTTTGCACGTCCATCAGAGCTGGGGCGCCAACATGACACCCTTTACGTTGGGCCCGGCAGCGTCATGAATGGGCCCATCACCCAGGCATTAGTCCTCTATTTTAGATATTGTCAAGGTTATGGAATTCTCTATGTTTTTTAAAAAAACAACAACAAAGAAAGTGTACTTTCCTGTTGCAGACACTCAGGGGAGCATGTTCAGGATCTCCAGTCCACATGGAATTTACTTGTTTCTGGGCTGGAAAGACTGAGCTGATGTAACACCAACCCAGACCACAGAGAACTAGAAGGGTCACACTAATAACAGGATCCCGGCACTAATAACAAATGCAACTTCTTGTAAACATTGAAATTCTTTTCCTAAATCCTGGTGCCGTTTGAGGTGGGTGTTGCAAAAGATGAAATTTAAGAATTGTTTCATTGTACACGTGCCCAGTTTTCAGACAAACAAACTCCCCCAACACATACTTTTACAAGATAAACAAGTGAGAGGATGATTATTTTATTTGTCAAAATCGTTCCTCACTTTATAAATAATCCAGTAAAGGATTTTTAAAAATATCTAATATCTTAATGCCCATGTACTATGACTTACTATATACAAGGCATTTCTGTTCACCTACCATCTTTTGAGAAGACCATACACTGGTTCCAGTATATATTTAGACCTGGACAAAGATGTCTGCACTGTCATGGAGTTGTTTTGAGAAAAAATGAGAGTAAATAGGCCAGGAGATGAGAAATGTCTTTAGATCATTGTGTTAATTCCATTTTCTGTCATAGGTTCATTAGAAACTAGAATTCAACACGTAGGCTCATGACCCTCAAGAGGTCCAGCCTGAGTGCACCAGTGGGCATCTTAGAACTGATTCTTCTACCTATTTCTTTGTAGAGGAGTCTCATCTGCTCCCCAGACAGACCACCTAAAGTTTCACCCAGGATTCTCTAGGGATCTGTTCTTTCTCTCCAGGTGAATAACCACGTTTGATTGTGTTTTGCCACATGTCTTTCCTACTGTGCTTCCACCCCAATCCTGGGTGTGTCCTGACAAAGGCAAGTTGGCAAATTCCAAGCCCAAACCAGTTAGTTGTGTTGGTCACTACAAATTTCAGTTATACGTGGAGACTTGAAAATCATCCTCTGCGCCTCTTCAGAGGCAAGTGGCTTGATGTGCACATTGACCTCTCCGTAAACAAGACAGCAGACCACCCAGGCTGGGAGAAAGCCAGATAAGGGTTTGGTTGTGAGGAGCCCGTGGCCCCAAGCCCCGGCCATCTGCCTGTCCTGGGGCTGCGGAGACCCAGGCTCGCCATTAGAGAGCAGTGTTAGGCCCTGTTACCCTCCCACATCCCCTTCTGAAAACCAAGCACTTGGAGTCATTCACACCTCACTGGATCTATTTCTGTCCTTGACAAATATTTTTTTGAGCATCGAGGCTGGCACTGGGCTGGGTGGCACTGGGGGATATAGCAACGGAGGACGTGGATGGGGTCACTGCCCCCAAGTCAGCATGAAAGTTAATGTGTAAGTTGAAAGGCCTATAAATACTACCCTCCCCCCCCAAAAAAAGTAGAGCGTACAACAATATTGTGAGGGGAGGGAGCCTTATTTAATGGGGGGGGGTGTGCTCAGGGACTCCTCTCTTTTGGCAAAACTGACCTTTAAGTTTCTTTCTGAGAAATGACCTGTAGGTTGAATCCAA